ATTTTGTAGATGAGGAAATGTTACACCCAGAAAGGATAAATGAATGTCCCTAAGGGTGCTCCACTGATAGGTGGCAGACTCAGGAATTGAACCGTCAGTCTCATCAGAAGCCATGTCCTTAACAACTGCTCTGTACTGTGTCTGTGTTCTGGGGCACTGTTGGTGTGTCAAGCTCTGTTCTAGGGGCATAATTAATTCATTTAAGCCTCACAGCAACTGTAGGAGGCATGGGTACTGGTGTTTCCTCTGTGCACAATGATATCGTTTGCCAGGATCATCACACACAGTAAGTGGTCCGGGCGACATTTGAACGAGGGTCCACTTGACTCCTGAGCGTACTTTCTAACCCTCTGCCACACTGCTTGTATTCTTTGTCTTTGATTTTCAGTCTAATAGAAGTTTGTGCTTTCTGTTAGATTTAATAGCTGCTCTAGAGCAGAGCCTGTATTTCTGTATTTAGTCGGCCAGTACCAGACCTGCCTTGTGATGGCTACTCAATATATGTGTTGCATGAATGGATTAACCAAGGTAGCAAAATGAGTTAGGCGCCTGTATTAAATGCATAAACCTAGTTGAGGGAACCATTAAATCTGCTGAACGTGAGTTAAAGAAGGATCAGAGAGTTTCCTCATTTTAAATATTACATAATAGGTCAGGTGTGGTATCTTATACCTGTAACTTCTGCACTTTGGGAGGCTGATGGGAGAGGATCGCTTCAGGCCAGAAGTTCAAGACCCACTGGGTGACATAGCAAAACCCCTCTCTACAAAAAATTTTTTAAAATTAGCCAGTCGTGGTGATGTGCACAGGAGGCTGAGGCAGGAGGATCGCCTAAGCCCAGGAATTTGAGGCTGTGGTAAGCTGTGGTGGCATCACTTAACTCGAGCCTAGATGACAGAGTGAGATATTGTCTCAAAAAAGATAAAATAAAAATTGCGTAATAACTGTTTTGCTTCATCATTAACATTTCCTCTCAATCCACAGAAAAGTTGGAGGGAGGAGAAGCTAGAGAAAGGAGCAGGTGAAGCCACCTTATGTGCTCTCTTCTGCCCTCATGTTTATGGTTGGAAATGCTGATTACAATTGGTGCCTTCTGGCACTCCACGCCACATGAGGGATTTGGACCACACACCATTTAGTTGCGGTCAGTTAGGCCCAGGGTTTGCAGTCCTTGAAGGAAGACCCAGTCCATGGTTAGGGTGCCACCTGGAGATGGTAGGTGGCATTACCACTCTTTCCGCTCTAAATTTATCTTGCAAAATACATTTCCTGTTGAGTCACTTAAGTCCCATTTCATAATTGTTTCTCTGTTGACTTCATGCGTTGATCAAATCTGTAGTCATTGTTTTCTGTTTTTCTGTCCATAATTTCAGTCCTACTTTATATTTAGATAGCGGGGTTCAATCTGAAGTTGTTTTGCTTATCATAAACCCTTAATATAAATAGTCCATATCAAGGTGAAAGCTACTAAGATGTAGAGTTGAGGTGGAGTGCAGATGCTCACACTCTCCCCAGGAAAAGAAAGACATGGTTCTGTGTCTGCTCAGCAGGGAGAGGCTGTGGGCTGGTGAGGAAGAAAGAGGGGCAGGATCGGTTATCCCATTGCCTTTTGTGCTTGTTCATACCTGCCTTGTTTAAAATTTGCTGAATGAAGGGGGTAGGTAGGTCAGGGGAAACTGGGTGTCTTTTAAGCATGGACCCTCAAAAGGCAGATTTATTTTGCCATGATTTGCATAAGGGGCTATATTTAGCCTGGGCAGGATTTAGCTATAAAAATGAATGGATCCCTCAACTCATGACTTTCCTACTCTTCAGGATGGCAAGCTTGTGTTCTCATCTTTTTTGGGACAACAGAACTGAGCTCAGCCTTAAGCATTCATCTAATCTGGGATCTCTGCAATTGAAAACAGTTTTTTATCTCCTCCTTAAAAATCCCCACAAAGGAAAATTCTGTTTCTCACTTGTTCCACTGTTGAATGTGATGTTTCACTGGCAAGTTCTAGATTTTTCATGAGCTAGTTCTTTAAATCCTTTTTTTTCTGGTGGAACATTTACTTATTTAAATCTTCATATATAGGAGATAATTATTTTAAACTTTAGCTTTTTCACAGACTTAAATATTATTTAATATCTGGTCTCTTACAGGGTTCTTGGTGCCTCTCAGCTTACGTGTAACTCAGTCCATTTCTTCTTAGACTTTTTTTGTATGTGTCTCAGCCTTTTGAAGCGTGAAGCCTCATGTCTCTTCCACTCTGATGCTTTCCCTGTTCCCTCCTCCCTGTTGCCCAATATGTTCCCATTTACGACACGGTGTATCTCCTGCATGTCTTGCCAGTCAAGAGTTTTAAAAAACAGTTTTTTTGAGATATGAGTCACATAGAATTCACCCATTTAAGATGTACAATTCACTGATATTTAGAATATTCACAGATATGGACAGCCATCACCACTGACAATTTTACAATATTTTCATTACCTCAGAAAGAAACCACATCCTTTAGCTGTCATCTACCCCAGTTCCCCAGTGCTAAGCAAACACTAGTCTGCCTTCTGTCTCTTTCTGTGTTTTCCTGTTCTGGACATCTCACATATGAGGAATCTTATGATATGTGGTCTCTTGGGTCTAACTTCTTTGACTCAGCACAGTGTTTTTAGGGCTCACATGTTGTATGTAGCCCGTATCAGTACTTCATTCTTTTTTATGGCCAAATAATATCCCATTGTACAAATATGTCACATTTTGTTTAGTCATTTATTAGTAGATGGACATTTGAGTTGTTTCTACCTTTTGGCTATTATGAATAATGCTGCTGTGAACATTCCTGTACAAGTTTTTGTGTGGACATACATTTTCAGTTGTCATGGATTGATCCCTAGGAGTGTAATTGCTGGGTCATGCAATAACTCTGTTTTTAATCATTTGAGGAGCTGCCAGATGTTTTCCAAAGTAGTTGTACCACATTACATTCCCACCAGCAATGTGTGATTTTTCCACATCCTTGTCAGCACTCTTTATCTTGTTATCTGTCTGTATTCTAGCCTTCCTAGTGGGTGTGAAGTGAGATCTTGTGCTTTTTATTTGCATTTCTGATTTGGCTAATAATGTCAAGCATCTTTTCGTGTGCTTTTTGACTATTTGTATATCTTCCTTGTTCCTCGCCCATTTTTATGTTGGGCTATTCGTTCTTTTTTTGAGTTGTAAAAGTTATTTTTATAGTCTAGAAACAAATCCCTTACCAGATCTATGATTTGCAAATTTTCTCCCAGTCCATGGGTTGATTTTTTACTTTCTTGATAGTATCATTTGAAACACAAAGGTTTTAATTTTTTTTTTTTTTTTTTTGAGTTGAAGTCTCACTCCATCACCCATGCTGGAATGCAGTGGCATACATACAGCCACCCCAGCATCGACCTGCTGGGCTCCGGCGATCCTTCCTCCTCAGCCATCCAAGTAGCCTGAATTACAGGCATGTGCTGTCACGCCTGGCTAATTTTTGATTTATTGTAGAGACAAGGTCTCACCAAATTGCTTGGTCTGATCTCGAACCCATGGACTCAGTCAATCCACTTGCCTCGGCCTCCCAAAGTGCTGAGATTGCAGGCTGAGTCACTGAACCTGGCCAAAAGTTTTAATTTTAATGAGGTCAATATATCTATTTTTTTATTTTAAAATATTTTTTTATGCATGTTACAAAAATATTAGGTATATTTTATTTTGAAATGTATAATTCTAGAAACATTTTTTGGGGGGGAGTTGGAGTCTCATTCTGTCATCCAAACTAGAGTGCAGTGGCACGCTCCCGGCCGTCGCAGCCTCAACTTACTGGGATCCAGCCATCTTTCCACCTCAGCCTTCCAAGTAGCTGAAACTACAGGCATGCGCTACCATGCCCGGCTAATTTTTTTGATTTATTGTAGAGATGAGGTCTCACCAAGTTTGCCCTGGCGGGTCTCGAACCCGCAGGCTCAGGCAGTTCACTCACCTTGGCCTCCCAAAGCGCAGGATTACAGGCTAAGCCACCGAGTCCGGCCTGAAATGTGTTTTTAAAACTACACCATCCCCTCAAGAGCCATGGATTTACTGTCTGAGTTCAATGGCTCATGCCTGTAATTCCAGCACTTTGGGAGGCCCAAGCAGGAAGATTGCTTGAGCCCAGTAGTTTGAGACCGGTCTAGGTAACAAAGTGAGACCTCATATCTATAGAAAATAAAAAAATTTAGGCAGGCATGGTGGCATGTATCTGTAGTCCCAGCTACTTAGGAGACTGAGGCAGAAGGATCATCTGAGCCCAGGAGGTCGAGGCTGTGGTAAGCCGTGATCATGCCACTGCACTCCAGTCTGGGTAACAGAGTGAGACTCTCTTTCCCACCTCTAAAAGAAAAAGGACCACAGATTTAGCTAAGTGTTTTTTTTTTTCATGAGTGCTTTTTTTCATGAGTGCTTCAATCATTTTGAATTTTTCCTTCAATTTTTTACGTGCTTCTTACTAGAGAGTTTTGAATTTAACAAGGAATTTAAAATAAAATCCCGGCCAGGCACAGTGGTTCATACCTGTATTCCCAGCACTTTGGGAGGTGGAGGTGAGAGGATTACCTTAGCCCAGGAGCTCGAGACCAGCCTGGGCAGCTTGGCAAAATCTCATCTCTACAATAAATAAATAAGTTAGCCAGGTATGAAGTTGCACACCTGTAGTTTCAGATACTTGGAAGGCTGAAGTGGAAGAATTGCCTGAGCCCAGCAGGTCAAGGCTACAGTAGCCATGAACATACCACTGTACTCCAGCCTGGGCAACAGTGAGACTCTGACTCAAAAAAATAAAATTAAATTTAAAAATTCCCAACTAATATTAAATAAGAACTGAGAGGTAACGTTTTATAGCCCTTATTGCTCTCCTGACCATAATCATTTCACAGTATTCTGCCTTTTATCCAAATGTGACTGTGTTGTAAACTGGACGCTCACCATAAGTGTGATCATGTCTTTCTTCCTTCTCCGACAGGTATGGCAGATCCCAGAAAATGGACTCACCCTTTCCCTGACTGAACCTGTGGTGATTTTAGAAGGCCACTCAAAGAGAGTCGGCATTGTGGCCTGGCATCCAACGGCCCGCAATGTGCTTCTTAGTGCAGGTAGGTGCTGAGCAGACCTCCCTCTGCCCCTGGCCTTCCTTTCTCATGGTCCCCTGTGTGCAGGAGGCAGCAAACACTCCTTGATTGTGTGCTGTATGGTTTAGAAACAGATTATTAGGAAACCATGGTACAGGGCACTGAGATGCAATGTCTTCCTAACCCATATACATGCCTATATGTGCTTCAAGGGCATTGTGATAATTCAGTGAAAGTAATGGACTTCCTGCTATAATTCACGCAGGTCCCTGGTTCATGCTGGGGCCCTCCATGAGCCATGGTTTTTGGTTATTTATTTTGTGGTAGAATGAGCACTTGGTTGGGAGCTAGAAGCCCCACTTCTGTCTCTGGTGTTGCTGCCAGCTTTGGGGTGATCCCTGTTAAACAAATATGCGTCTTTCTTTTAAATAAAGCCTTTCATTTTTCTCCCTCTGCAAGTGGTGCATATACATCGTAGAGAACATATATGAGCAAAAGGGGAAAAAAATCACTTTTAATCCCACCATTCAGAGTGAAGATCATTGTTACCATTTAATGTTTCCATCCAGAAAATATTTCTGTGCACATACATAAGTTATTTTACACATAGAGATGAGCTCATACACTTTACACATGGCCTACTTTCTGTACTTAGTGGTACCTGTGATCTTTTTATGTGCCATTAAATGTTCTTCTTCCTACAATATTTTTAATGACTCATTAATAGTCCATTTCTAGATACCTCAGTTTATTTGATCAGTTCCCTATTTCTGGACATTTCTGATGTGTGTGTGTGGGTGTCTGTGTGTGTGTGTGTATGTTTTAAGAGATAGGGTCTTGCTTTGTTACCCAGGCTGGTCTTGAACTCCTTGCTCCAAATGATCCTCCTACCTCACCCTCCCAAAGTGCTGAGCCACCATACCTGGCCCTGATTTTTCACTGTTAAACAACATTGTAATAAACCCCATGGCTAAGTCCCGGTGTTCTTATTTGTTTCCCACTTGAGTAGTTTCCATGTTTATCTTATAGAAATCTTTTTCTTTGTCTGAAATTTTGAGATTTTCTTTTTTTTTTTAATGAAAACAATACAAAGGACACCAGGGGACTTTCTGGGGTGATTCAAATGTTCTATATCTTGATTGTAGTATCAGTGTAGTAACTTACTGGATGTGTACTTAAGACGGGTGCATTGTATTGTATATAAGTTATACCTTAATAAAATTGGTTTATAAAAAGAAAAGCAATATTAATGTTAAGAGTAGAGGTTTTTTTTGTTTTTGTTTTTGTTTTTTTTGAGTTGGAGTCTCACTCTGTCACCCAGACTGGAGTGCAGTGGCCACTCCGGCCACCGCAGCCTCGACCTGCTGGGCTCTGGCGATCCTTCCACCTCAGCCTTCCAAGTAGCTAGAATTACAGGCATGCGCTACCACGCCCGGCTGATTTTTTTATTTTATTGTAGAGATGAGGTCTCGCTGCCCAGGCGGGTCTCAAACCCGCGGGCTCAGGCAATCTACTCACCTCAGCCTCCCAAAGGTGCAGGATTACAGGCTGAGCCACCGAGCCTGGCAAGGAATAGAGTTTTTAAAGGTCTTTTCCCTCATCAGTAAAAAGGAGGGAGGCAGTTTAGTTTTTAACTGGGAATAGAGGATGGTTATGGTTTATAGTGAGTTAAATAAAAAATTACAATGCCAGGTACCTATTAAAACTAAGGACCACTTTGCAAAAAAGACACTATCCGTAGGGTACTGTTATAGAATCACTATTGACCATACTTGGAAACCCTTCCGGTGTTCTGCTCAGAACCTATCTGATAAGGAGAGAAAAAAAATTCCAGAGGTAGAATTCCATCATGGAAAATTTCCTGCTACCCTTCTTATCTCATTTAAACATAGGGCATCAGCAGACCAATCCTCATTCTCCTTTTTACAAGAGAAGGAGAATGGATGATTGTAGTATTCTGCATGTTTTAAGATTATATGATCCATCCGTCAAGACTGAAGTAACCTGTTTGCCTGTGAGGAACAAGGTAGAGGAAAGGTCAATTTTCCATCCCAGAGCTTAGCTCTGACTTTCCATACTGTTGTGCAGCTTTTTTCTAATATCCTGCTTCTAACACTTAGGTAACTTAGGTATCCTGGGTATTAGTGACTTTTTTCCCCCTAAAATTGCAAAATTGCTTTATTGGCAAGAATTTACCTTTGGGATGTCCTTCCCTTATTTTGCTTCATTCTTGAACTAATGTCCTAGAAGCAATACATGGTGGTTCTTTTTGAAGGGGTCCTGGGGACTTAGGGCAGACCCTTGAAGGAAGAAGGGAGTTCATGAACTGAGGGAGGTGTCCCAGTTGACATCATGGGCCTCTCTGGGATCAGTTTCTGAATCCACGTGCCTACTTGTTTACAGTTGGGGCCTCTCACAATCAGGCCGGTTTTGGCCTATTTTTCTCTCCTTTTAAAAATAAAGATCTGTTGTGAGCAAACAGGCCAGTCCTCCTAAACCAAAGCCATGTCTTACAGCCTCACTGACTTCAGTAACCTGCAATCCACATTTTTTGTCAAGTTTGCCAAACAGTTACTTAAATCCTTTATTTTTAGTTCCTTTGGCAAAGAAGTAAGCGGTATTTATTCTGATGCTTGTTTTACTGGAAAAGGAAACTTGAAATCACTTGGTTCTACGAGCCCTGTTAACTCCTTTAAAAAACATAGGATTCTATTTTGGTGTAGTAGTTCTTTGTTTTTGTTTGGTTTGCTTCATATGAACCTAAACCTTACAAGCTGTACTTTTTAACACTTTTTCCCCCTGTATATAAACCTTTTTTCTTTGTCATTTCAGTTTTTAACTCCCAGTAAGTAGGACTTCTTATAATCAGCACCTTTTTTTCTTTTCTTTTCTTTTTTTTGGAGTTAGGGTCTCATTCTGTCACCCAGGCTGGGGTGCAGTGGCACTATCATGGCTCACTGCAACCTTGACTTTCTGGCCTCAGGCAATCTACATTTCAGCCTCCCGAGTAGCTACTACACCTAGCTAATCTTTCTTATTTCTTTGTACAGACAGGGTTGCTATGTACCCTAGGCTGATCTCTAACTCTTGGGCTCAAGTAATCCTCCTACCTCAGCCTCCCAAAGTACTGGAATTGCAGGTGTGAGCCACCGCACCAGCCGGCACCTTATTTTCTATGCATGTGGACATCCTCATTGTATGTGTAGTTTTCTTGAATGTGTTGTTGTCCAGATGTTTCTAATGTTTGAGGGGCATGGCTTTGCTTGTTTCAGGCTGTGATAATGCCATCATCATCTGGAATGTGGGGACAGGGGAAGCCCTTATAAACCTGGACGATATGCATTCAGACATGATTTACAATGTGAGCTGGAACCGGAATGGCAGCCTGATCTGCACAGCTTCCAAAGATAAGAAAGTGAGAGTGATCGATCCGAGGAAACAAGAGATTGTTGCTGTGAGTATTCCTAGGATTCTAGGAATATTCATGATTGTAGCACTTCAGTGAGTGGGAGCTTTCTGCATCCTAAAGCAGGTAGCAGTACTCTTCAGTGGGCCCTTGCTGTGTACAGACACCAATTGTGAGTAGGAAAAGGCTTCTACAGGCTTCTCAGTGTCCCCCAAGTCACGCTTCTCTCCAGAGGAGTGCATTTCCAGCTTTTACTCAAGTTTTCTCTCTCACGTGGCAACCATTTCTCACTGATAACTAGTTTTGATCAGTTCACTAGAGACCTTAAGAGTTTATAAGTCTGAATCAGCTAAATCAGTTAGCTGAATTCCTGGTCTCATGACTTTGTATTAAATATTGAGTAATTGATTTTTCTCTCAGTTCTAAAAATAGCTGTGTCTTAGTTTCTGCCACCCAAACTGCGCCTCAACAAAAAATCACATATCCTGACAAAAGGTGGATGTTTAGTCTTTTGTCAGGTCTGAAACAAGTATAGAATCCAAGAATGCCCCACTTCAGCACATGCTGAGGCCCTTCCTGAGGTGTGCTTGTTCCAGCAGCTTTTATTCCAGGGTCAGGCGGTGATTGCAACCAGTGCCTCCTGTGCACTGGGGACATCTCCACCCAGAATCTTCCAAGGGGCATACTGGTGCACTCATTAAACAAGGGAGGTTAACTAGACTAGACGCTGTCCTGTGATACTGGTAGAGGTAGCCAACCTTCAGGTTATCATCCTCTTGAGAAACAAACATTTGGCAGAGTCCTTTCCTGTGTTTTATTTTTACACTGCATGGACTTGGGTTGACAGGAGCGAGGCTTCTGAGTTGAATCCTGGCACTCTTGCTAACTAGCTGGGGCACTTTGGTCAGATCACTGAGTCTCCATTTCCTCACCTGAGAGGTTGGGTTGGTGAATGTGAATGATAAGGGGGTGAGACTAGGTTCAATCTCAAGTTTCCACACTCCCCTTTTTTCCTGCTGACAATTGAGTATGTGTGATGTGCCCTTTTGCTCTCTCTCCCAGGAGAAGGAAAAAGCGCACGAAGGAGCAAGGCCTATGAGAGCCATCTTCCTGGCTGATGGCAACGTCTTCACCACTGGCTTCAGCCGCATGAGCGAGCGACAGCTGGCACTCTGGAACCCGGTACACCCTTCCCAGCCTTTCTGCTTACTTTTTTTTTTTTTTTTTTTTGAGTTGCAGTCTCACTCCTTCGCCCAGGATGGAGTACAGTGGCATGTATGCTCACGGTCATCCCAGCATCAACCTGCTGGGCTCCGGTGATCCTTCCACCTCAGCCTTCTGAGTAGCCAGAACTACAGACACGCACTGCCATGCCTGGCTATTTTTTATTTTATTGTAAAGACGAGGTCTCGCCAAGTTGCCTGAGCTGTTCTCGAACCCGCGGGCTCAGGCAATATACTCGCCTCGGCCTCCCAAAGTGCTGGGATTACAGGCTGAGCCACCAAGCCCGGTCTCTGCTTACTTTCACTTGTGTTTTCTCTCAGTTCTAAGCGGGTCTTGGGTTGATACGTGGATTATTGGATTCTCTGTGTAGCTTTTTGAACACCTGTTTGTCTTACATTGACTGTGATGTTCTTATCCTCACTGGAGACTTACGAAGGAGCAAGGCCTTCGTATTTCAGAACATACTCTTGATGATCCTAAAGAGTCTATGTTGACTGTGTGCTTAAAAAAGAAGCATGAAGAATCCAGTGTTTTAGATTTGGAAATAAGTTCTAAACTTAGTTATGTTTCATCAAGAATGTGATCAGATGTCCATATTAAAATAACCATGCTTGGAAAAATGTTCATAATTAGCATAATGGTTAGCATACTGAACTGTATATGTGGTGTGATCCCATTCTGTGTGTGCACATGTGTTGGAAGGAGGTAGGCTGAAATGGTATATTTTCTGCCACCCACCAGGCTGTGGGGTTGTGGAATATAGGATGATCTGGATGTTCTTTATTTCTTATTTTAATTTCATTTTTTATTTTAAATATGTGGGGTACAATTCAGAGTTAGGTATACAAATATTCATTATGCCGATAACCTTGTTGATAAGATGTGCCTCCCCCTCCCCTAGCAGTTTCCCACTTTTATGTCTTTTAACTTTTAAAGTGTGCATGTATTTCTTTTTAATGAAATACTTTTGTTGGGAACAGTAGCTCATGCCTATAATCCCAGCACCTTGGGAGGCCAAATTGGGACAATTGTTTGAGACCAGGAGTTTGAGACCAGCCTGGGCAACATAGTGAGACCTCATCTCTACCAAAAAAAAATAGCCAGGCGTGGTGCGCACACCCAAGTACTCAGGAAGGATCTCCTGAGCCTAGGAGGGTGAGGCTGCGGTGAGCCATCATCATGCCACTGCAGTCCAAATCAGGCAACAGAGTGAGACCCCAACTCAAAAAATAAAATAAAATAAAGTACTTAAAAAAAAAAGTCATAAAGGAGAAGGGCTCTTTTGTCTTTGTCATGGAGTCACACTGATGTGTGCACTAATGATGTCAAAACAACACAGTTTCAGTGGGCTGGGTCTCATTTGGCACCCCTGCTGGCATCTATATGTGTGAATATTATATGTGCATATTCAAACTGTCATTGTTCTGGGAAAGTGGCTCACTTAATTACGAATAGATGAATATATAATAAGGTTATAAAAATTCATCTCTAAAATTGTATATACTTTTTTTTTCAGAAAAATATGCAAGAACCAATTGCTCTTCATGAGATGGACACTAGCAATGGGGTGTTGCTGCCTTTCTACGACCCTGACACCAGTATCATTTACTTATGTGGAAAGGTAAATGGTAATTTTAGTGTTTGATATTAAATTTAATCCTGTAGGATGTAAAGTTTATCCTTCAGAGATTTAGGAGGTGGGCAATGTACTGTATCTTTTTAATTTTTTGAATTAATGTGTGTATCTTAAGGTAAGGACAAATAATTGTGGTGTGTTTTAGGTCTTGATTCTGGGCTGTTTGCCTGCCGTGCTCAGTACTTTTGACCAAAGCAGGGGTGCTGGAGCAGGTGCTTCACTCAGGACACTCTAGTGAGAAAGGGGGACACGCTGGTGTTCCATCTACACCTATAAGTGCTGCCTGAGTGGTGGTCTTAGTTTCATCTCGACCAGGTTCAAGAATGGGTAACAGTTGGTACACACCTAAAGCAGATTTTATCGGGTGACCCTAGGCGAGCATGTGGGCACTTAGCACTGCAGACTGTGGACTTGTGATGAGGATGATGTTTTGTGGGTATGAGCATTTGAGGGCCTCAAGGACTTTCCAGAAGGTTCTTGTTCCTGAAATTCAGTGTTAGGGCCCTAGGGGTGAAGATATGGGGCCCAACTAAAGTATCAGAGTCACAGTCATGGCAGGAAGACTCCTCACTGAACTTCAGAATCCTTTCTTTTGCCTTCGGATCTCAGCCTAACTGGACTATTGGTAGCTTTATTATTATTTCATTATCATAGGTGGGAACCTCAAAATGCCTAATTCTTTTGTAAGTTCAACTTTCCTTAGAATTTTTTGTAGATGAAAGAAGTTAATTAACTAAAATGGAGCTGTTGGTATGCTCCTTTAGTCTGTTTGAGTTCCTTGCTGGGTAAAGTCGGTTTGATGTTTTACCATTCATAGTTGATTGAGCATGCAGCAGACCTGCTTTATGTTTTTATAGGTCACTTCCTTAGAAACTGAGATCTTGTCTGTTTCCTTGAGCGTCATTTTACTGCAGATATTAACAGCTATTAAGTGCATGCATCTCACTGTTGCTGCCATCAGCTGACTCATACAAATTGGGTGGTTTCCCAGTATTGTTAACATTGCGTGGAAAATTATTTGGGGTATGCAGAAAATGACTGATACGTGTATGTCCTGTTTACATCGCTTTAGATGTCTGAGTCATTGAGACAAGTAGACATCATGAGCACTGAGAGCACTGTTAGGCCATGTTCTGCCTAGTTACTTATGTCTTCTTTTTCTTACATATGTGTATGTATCTCCTCTCTGCCAGGCAAGCATGCCTTAGTTGTTCAGGTTGGTATAACTATGTAACAAGTATTTATACTGAGATTAGCATGTACTTCAGATCTCCAAAATCTGACCGTTCTGGCTAAGCACAGTGGCTCATGCCTGTAATCCCAGCACTCTGGGAGGCCAAGGCAGGATCATTTGAGGCCAAGAATTCGAGACCAGCCTGGGCAACAAAGTGAGACCCCATATATATATAAAAAATAGAAAAGTTATCCAGTCATGGTGGTGCAAACCAGTAGTCCCAGCTACTCAAGTGGCTGAGGCAGAAGGATCGCTTGAGCCTAGGAGTTTAAGGCTGCAGCAAGACATGATCATGCCACTGCATTCCAGTCTGAGTGAAACCGTGTCTCAAAAAAACACAAAAAACTGACCATTCTAAGAAAGATAATTATAGAATTTTGCACATTGCTGTGAGATGGCACTACTCAATAAAACTGAGTTTCTCAGTTAGGAAAATCTCACTTTTTATTGTCATCTGAGTACCTGTTGTTGGAGCCCTTAGGTCTGTGAATGGTACTGCACTCTGTCAGTGAACGAATACTTAAATCAGTGATACTTTCTTAGCAATCCTCCTAGTCTGTTTTTGAAGTGGAATTGTAATGCAGTTGTTTGGTAGAAGCATTACCATTTTTGCTCTAACGCTAGCCTGGTGTCCAGGCTGAGGGGAATAATATTAGAGCCTTGGGTAGGAGGCCAAGGAAACCAATTAAAGGCTGTGCTAGCATTTGGGAAGTGAGGAAATGCTTTAGACAAGCTTTTTTATGAGGAAGAAAAGGTCAGCTACTGCGGGTCCCAACAAGTGCTAGGTTCATGGAGGAGAGAGATACCCACTCAGTCCAGTTGTTTCAGGTAACCAAACACAACCTTGTCTCTGGTTTCTTACAGGGCGACAGCAGTATCCGCTACTTTGAGATCACAGATGAATCCCCATATGTCCACTACCTCAACACATTCAGCAGCAAGGAGCCTCAGAGGGGCATGGGCTACATGCCAAAGAGGGGACTTGACGTTAACAAATGTGAGATTGCTAGGTAAGGGTTCAGTGTCGTAAAGCGTTCCAGTTGTCTTACCATCATGCAGTGCCAGAACAGGATGACTGCCCGTGATTCTCTAATGTCTGAGTCCTTCTATCCCTGTGTGTGCCGTGGAGTTAACGTCTCATTTCCTGCCATATCACTGGAAGGGTAACAGGAAGCATGGCAGTTCAGGAGCATAGCCGAAGTGTGCTGCACACTGGCTGTGGCAGTAAACCCTCCATCTTGAATCTTCAGGCTGAGGCCATGCAGTGTTCCTCTGCAAGGCAAGCCAGGAAAAGCCTGGCTCAGGAGTGGCAAAAGGGGAAGGTTTCCTGCCCTAGATGTGGGGGAAGAACCAGGGTCCAAACTGAACTGTGGGCCCCACTGGCCCTAAACTAGAGAAGCCAAAGATCCTGCAAAGGTATGTTAGGTTAGTGTGACTTATGGAGCCCAGCTATGGCACCTGGTTTCTGCCTCTCTTTACAACTCTTGATTTTTTTTAATGTATATTCCATAATGCTTAGTGGGCTTCCTGAGGGGTGGTCCTTTTTCTCATACAAGTCAGCAAAAGAGTTTCTGTGAGACTCAGTGACCACTGGCCATTTCATTTTTTTTTTTTTTAATTTTTTTACTTTAAGGATGTAGGGTACAATTCAGGGTTAAATATACAGATATTCATTATGCAGGTACCCTTGTTTGATGAGGTCTACCCCCCCTTCGGCAGAATCCCACAACTGCCAATCCTGCCCCTTCTGTGCCTCCAGCAATTTCCCACTACTGACGATCCTTTTCCTTTTTTATTTTTTTATTTTTATTTTTTGAGTTGGAGTGTCACTCTGTCACCCAGACTGGAGTGCAGTGGCCGCTCCTGGCCACCGCAGCCTCGACCTGCTGGGTTCCGGTGATCTTCCGCCTCAGCCTTCCAAGTAGCTGGAACTACAGGCACGCGCTACCATGCCCGGCTAATTTTTGATTTATTGTGGAGATGAGGTCTTGCCAAGTTGCCCAGGCGGGTCTCGAACCTGCGGGCTCAGGCAATTCACTCACCTCAGTCTCCCAAAGCGCGGGATTACAGGCTGAGCCACCAAGCCCGGCTGACAATCCTTTTCTAATAGTATTATGATGATTGTTCAAGGTCCGTTTATGAGTGAGAACATGTGATACTCAGTACTTTGTTTCTGTGATAGAAACAATATTATAGACTCTAAGTCCATCCAGGTTGCTGTGAAGTTCATAATTTTGTCCTTTAGGCTGCATAATATTCCATTGTATATATGTACCACATTTTTTTATGCAGTCCTCTTTCGATGGGTAGCACAATTGGTTCCATGTTTTTGCTATTGTGAACAATGCTGCAGTAAACATGCATATGCAGTTATCTTTTTCATAAAGTGATTTGAGTTCCTCTGGGTATATTCCCAATAGAGAGATTGCGGGGTCATATGGAAGGTCGATTTTTAGACCTTTTAGGAATCGCCAGACTGTTTTCCACCAAAGTTGTACTAGTTTACACTCCCACCAACAGTGTAAAAGTGTTGCCTTTTCCCCACATTCTCTCCAGCAGCTGTTGTTTTTTGAGTGATTGATGATGGCCATCCTGACTGGAGTTAACTGGTATCTCAGTGTAGTTTTATGTTGCATTTCCTTGATGATTAGTGAGGCTAAGCATTTTTTCATGTATCTGTTGGCTGCTCATATGTCTTCTTTTGAGAAGTGCCTCTTCATATCTTTTGCCCACTTTGTAATGGGACTGTTTACTTTTTTCTTCTCAGCATATTTGAGTTCTTTGTAGATCCTAGATGTTAGACCTTTGTCAGATATACAGTTGGTAAATATTTTTTCCCAGTCTGTGGGCTGTCTCCCTGCTCTATGGATGGTTTCTTTGGCTTTGCAGAAACTTGTCAGTTTGATGAGGTCCCACTTGTCTATCTTATCTCTTAAGGCATGGGCACTTGGGGTTGTGATCAGGAATTGATTGCCAGTTCCAATTTCCATAAGGGTGTCTTCTGCATTTTCTAAAGTTCTTATAGTTTGAGGTTTTTTATGTTTAGGTCTTTGATCCATTTAGAGTTGACTTTTGTGTATAGTGATAGGTAGGGGTCTTGTTTTAATCTTCTGTATGTGTTCAGCCAGTTTTCCCAGCACCATTTACTGAATAGGTTCTCCTCTCCCCAGTGGTTGGTGGTGGAGGCTTTGTCAAAGATGAGTTGATTGAGAAACTGAGGTTTTGCTTCTGGAATCTCTATTCTGTTCCATTGGTTTATATGCCTGTTCTTATACCAATACCAGGCTGTTTTGATTATTGCAACTTTATTATAAAGTTTAAAGTCTGGGAGTGTGATACCTCCAGCTTTATTTTTTTGTTGTTGTTGTTTTTTGTTTTTTGTTTTGCTGAGGATTGTTTTAGCTATTTGTGGTCATTTATGTTTCCATGTGAATTCCTGTATTGTTTCCAGGTTTGAGAAGAATGCTACTGGTAATTTAATGGGTATTGTGTTAAATCTATAGATGGCCTTGGGTAGAATGAACATCTTAACAATGTTGATTCTTCCAATCCATGAGCATGGAATATTTTTCCATTTGTTTGTGTCATCTTTAATTTCTTTGAGTGGTGTTTTGTTGTTTTTGTTGTAAAAGTCTTTCACGTCTCTGGTTAGGAAGATGCCAGGGTATTTCATTTTTTTGTGTGTAGCTATTGTGAATGGAATTGTAGTTTTTATTTGGGTTTCTGTTTGTTTACTGTTGGTGTATAGAAATGTTATTGTCTTTTGCACATTTATTTTTTACCCTGAGATTTTGCCAATGTCCTTTATCAGTGCAAGGAGGTTTTTGACAGATCCTCTTGGGTTTTCGAGGTATAGGATCATGTCATCTGCAGAGGGATAATTTAACTTTCTCTTTCCTATTTGGATACCCCTGATTTCCTTATCTTGTCTGATTGCTCTAGCTAGGACTTCCAGTACTGGGTTGAACAGGAGGGGACCACTGGCCATTTCAAACACCAGAATAACTAGCACTGCACTGTCAGATGCAAAGACATACCATACATTCATATGACACTATGTTTATGGACTTTGTAAAAGTTTGCTGTTTTGATCACACCAATAAAGAACTGACACTCATATTTTTCCAAATGAAAGTGAAGGAATTTTTATAAACCCTTTTTATATTAATCTCTATGGGTTGCTTTTTAAAAAAATAGCTGGAGTCATGAAGGAAAACTGTCACAGACAATTCAAAATTTTGGTTTAAACCAAACTAATTGAAATGTGGTTTAAAATAGACTGAATCTGAACTTAAGATTATATCTAGTATTTGGGAACACATTTGTTTACTGTCATCTAGATGTTTAAGAGACTGTCAGCACGTTGTTTAGGACATGTCGTTGTGAAGTGTTTTTTGAGCAGTTGTTATGGGTCAGGCATGTACTCAGGGTGCTACATGGGTTACCTCTCTTATTCCTCATCACAGACCTGTGAGGTGGCTGCTTTTTCTGTTGCCGTTGTATGTATGAGGAGCTGAGGCCTGGTGAAGCTGTCACACCCTGGGAGTGGTAGTAAGAGAGCTGAAAGTCAAAGCCAGATCAGTCTTTTTTTATCACTGTGCCCACTGCAGAGCTTTCATGACCTCAGTCTTTAAAAATGACTTGGGTTTATCTGGGCCTCCTTTTGGTTGAAACAGTGAACAGGCAGGTTTGACACGTCCATTCTTCTAAAGAAGTCTATAGCTTGACAACCTCTTGTCCAACCTGAGCCACACTCAGCTCTTGTCCCCTGTGCATGGGAGCAGCATACCTGTCAGGCCGCCTGAACTGGATTCATGTCCAGGCCATGTTGCCCAGTTTCAAATGCCAAAGGCTGCCGGTTTCCAGAAGAAACAAGTTTTCAGGAATTTGACATGGCGGCATCTCCTCTGACTTACACTCTTGAGGCTCTGAGGACATCCCTATAGCAGTTGCACTTATACTCTGCTCCCACTTTGCATGGGGCTCTCTGATCTGGCCATGGAGTGCTCACTAAGGCCACCTCTCTTACCAGGAGCTTTAGAGAGAAGTTTTATGTTCCCCATCTTGACTGAAAACAAATCGGCTTGGCCGTGTCAGTGTCATCATGGGAGAAGTGGTTTCTGATTGTTGAGTCCTGTTGGAGGAGGCAAATGACTGTGCTGCCCTTTCCCCATCAGAAACCATTTGCTCCCCTCCTCTGTGTCACAGTGCAAGTTGCTCACTCTTTCCACATTTGGGTGACTTCACATTTTTCTTGAGTGCTGTGCATGATGTGGTTTGCCTGAATGCCAACATTGTAATTCCTAGGATTGCTTTCTTTTCCTTTTTAAAAATCTTATCTATACTCAGAAACATTCAGCCGTCACAGGCTGGCCAAAGACCTGGCACCCAGGTTATCAATACCACCTAACAGATGTATGTTCTCCCCCATCTGTTGACAGGGTGATGTTTTCACCAGTGAGTCGCTGTCAGTGTTGCTACTATTCCCACCACAGTTGATCTGCCCCAGATAATTGGAATTTGACTGTCTTCCTAATACACAGACCTCTCTCGTGGCTCTTATGTCCAGTCTGCTATCCTCTAAGCTTCCGTTTTCTCATCTGTAAAATGGGCACACTAAGTTCTCCCTACTCCTAGGATGGATTGGAAGAGGTGAAGGATAGAAGCACTTCGTATCCTACACAGCATTGTAGAAAAGTAGTTGCTAATCATGTTGCGAATCCTAGTACTCAGCCTCATGTTTCACTTAATGCAATTTTGCCTTTATTGCCCCACTGAAGATTCTTCAAACTTCATGAGAGAAAGTGTGAGCCTATCATCATGACTGTTCCCAGGAAGGTGAGTATCCAGTTTTCTAGACAATTCATGTTTTTAAAAACTTAAAAATAACATTTAAAAATCCCAGACTTCCTTCTTCCTTACCTGAGGGCTCACCACAAATGTCTCTTGCAGTCTGACCTTTTCCAGGATGACCTGTATCCAGACACAGCAGGGCCAGAAGCTGCACTGGAGGCAGAAGAGTGGTTCGAGGGGAAGAACGCAGACCCCATCCTTATCTCCCTGAAGCACGGGTACATCCCAGGCAAAAACAGGGATCTCAAGGTGGTCAAGAAGAATATCCTGGACAGCAAGCCCACGGCCAACAAGAAGTGCGACCTGATCAGCGTCCCCAAGAAGACCACAGACACAGCCAGTGTGGTAAGGCCCACAGGAGCTTGGGATGTGATTGGCTGACCCAGGCCTCATCAGCTGGAAAGCCATTTACAGTCCAGGCACTGGCAAGTGCTTTCCCAGCTGTGAGCACTTGGGGTTTTCAGCAGACACACTTGTGCTATGTGTAAGGCAGTCCTGGGTCATGTGATATAGACAGTTTGTGGTCACACTGGCTCCTTCAGCTCTGTGTTTTGTAATGACCGGGATAGATGTTGGTCTCCCACCATGTCTGAGCATGAATAGCAGCCTCGGGCTTTTCCTAACTGTCTTTTACTAGACTGGGAAACCTCTTCTCTGATCTGGATGGAAGTGAAACTGGGAGCATGGAGTCACAGGTAGCCTGAAGAGAAGGCCCCACTAGAGGTAGTGGCCCAGTGACAGAAAGATCTGGCAGCCTGTGGGCTGGCAACAAGGGTGACGCAGGCCACAGAGTATGGGTGGGGTGATGGAAGCCAAGGGCTACTGCTGCCAGAGAGCAGGCCCTGGGAAGGATGGGTTTGGGCAGACAGGGTAAGGGACCGCCCTCCCTCGAGGAGCCTCCCTGGTGGGCAGTGGAAACTCAGTGACCTGTGGGAGGGATGCCTTTACCCTAGTTGAAAGGAAGTTGCCCTTGAGGGAGTGACTGAGTGGTTGGGATGCCTTGAGGGAATCCATCTTGTCCTGCGGTCCAGTTGCGACCCAGAAGAGCCTTGGTTGGGTGAGTGCACAGGCCTGAGGCCCAGAGACAGCCCTGTGACCCGCTGTTGTTTTGCTGAGGGTTTCCCATGAATTGACTGGCATTTACTGCACTCTCAGAAGGCCCAGCTGCAGTGGGCTTTGACTTCTCTTGTCAACTCGGTGCCTATGGCTTGCTCTTTGCCAAACAGAAAACTACACTTTATGTCTTAGACACTTCACAGCGTGTTGAACTTTGTTTACTGCTTTTTAGTTACTATCCCCCTTTTGGTTTGTTTTTTCAGCAAAATGAAGCCAAGTTGGATGAGATTTTAAAAGAGATCAAATCTATAAAAGACACAATCTGCAATCAAGATGAGCGCATTTCCAAGTTAGAACAGCAGATGGCGAAGATAGCGGCTTGAGGGCCCCGCCCCACCCTACAAAAAAAATGGGAGCAGGGACTTGCGCTTGGTAGCTGGTTATTGGTGTGGTCCTAGGGAGGGTGAGTCGGGAGGCACTGCCATTGGAGACATTCCATTTCAGATGTGTCGACCAGCCACAGGCCACATTCCAGTAAGAACTCAATTCGTCTCCCAAATTGCAGAAACAAACGTGATTGAAAAGTTGAGCTTTTTACCAGAAAGCTTTTTTTGATGTTTTAAGTGTTATATGACTTGCCGAACTTTAAAAAGACAAAAGTGCTACTTTAAAAATCCCAGATATTCTGAATTTTAGAAAACAAACCAATTCTGATTCAGTGTCATGCCCAAGTTTGTTTTTTTTTACCAGTAGGGACCAATGCCACATTGCTTTTTCTATTTCTTTCTTTTTTAATGTTGCCAAAACCAAAAGTAGCTTTTTCTTTGTATTTGGCTACTTTGCAGTATTTTTGTGTGATTTTTTTTTTTCTTAATTTGAAAGGGACAGCACTGTGTATGTTTATAAACTAAATGAAGATATTATTTTGTATAAACATTCATCTGAGAACAATCAGCAGTGGCCACATGGTGCTGATGCATTTGCAGCACAAGCTGGTCCTCTTAATGACTGTACACAGGAAGACTTGAAAATCACTTGGATTCATACTGCCACCCTCTCGTTTCATGGAGTCTTCTGATCAAAAAGCTCACATAGTATCTCTTCCTGCCTTTGCTTTCTCTTTTCTAGAAATTGGTGGTTGTACTGGAATGGGATTTTTCTTCTTGGTTATTCTGTGCTTCAGATTATTATAATCTAACCCAAATGGCATGTGTTTCTGCAGTTTCTCACCCACATAGGATCTGTTGCACTATCAAACTATCCTCATGCTCAGGTTTTGGTCAACAGTTGACCAGGGTGCCCGGGACAGGAAGATGGGTGTACTGCTGAGTGTTCTATCTTGTTTCAGTGCTTTCCTGGCTCTTGAGTTCTGTGGTGGGGACTGCAGACACAGGAACATGGAGGGGAGCGTCTGCTGGGTGTCTTCCCGCGTGACCCGTGCTGTCCTGTGCTGTGCTGTAGGAAGAAGCGGCTGCCTTACCCCAGCAGAGCCCCTGCTGGTCCTCTCCCCACATGGGCTGCAGCCTCTCTCAGGGCTCCCCTGCTGTTTCTTCTCTCCTTTCTCCCTTTCAGCCCTAATCACATTCTTCTAAGCTGAGGCCAACTGGTGCTATTGAATACAGAGGCTGAAGAGAATAATCAGGAGCACAGACCTCTGCTGTAGCTTTCTTTACCGTGCGTAGTAAAGCTGTGCTGACTCAGAGGGGGCTGGAGACTGGGCTCTGACTGCCTGTCCATTCCTAGGTTAGCTATAACTCCGCTCCATTTCCAGCTTCTCACATTGCATGCTTGAGAAACTAGACTTAAGGAGCCTCTGGCTCAGGAGGGCTGTGTGTCTGTGAGTGGCACGGGGAGCATATTGTGCCATGGGGACCAGAAGGGAGTTCTTGCACGTGCTCGTGCCAGCATGGGCATGGGGCTAGCTAGCTGCAAGTGTCTGTGCACAGGGAGCCAGGATGGTGGCGGCAGTGACTGGAGCATAAAGCTGAGCTAGGGGTGGCATCTGTGGAGAGAGATACCTTGCTCTTAACCAGTGCTAGGATTGCTGTCTCCACCGTGTCAGGGCATCTGGACGTTTGATGTGGTTGTGTGTTTGTGTATGTGTGTGTTTTTAACATTGAAGTGGATAATGAGATGTAAAGAAAACAATAATTACAGTGGCTTGTATTCAAATTTATATTTGTTTCTTTATCAGTGTAATCTGAGGACCTTCGTTTCCAAGATTCAGAAATGTTTACAGGTTCTAATACCAAATTAATGAAGTACACAGAACGATTGTGTATGGTGGTGAAACACCATGGGGGTGTGGGTCAGAGAAGCAGGAGGGCAAGGAGACGTTGCCCTGATCCCAGTTTGCAGCATGTGACTTTAAATGAGTGGATGCCCCGCCAGGCTCTGAGCAGGCACCCGAAGCATTGTGGATCGTTTTTCTGTTTCGTCTTTTTTTTTTAAGCCGTGACATCCCCAGGAGGACAGTGGATCACTCCTAGATCAGCTCTTATAGAGCGGCCATAGTGTTCTGTCAAAAACACTTGCTTCCATTTTCAAAGATAAAAATTATTGATTACAAAATGGTGTCCGTGTTCATTTCACACCTCACTGTCTCTGAGGCAGCCCACTTCTCTTCCTGGCACAGCGCCTCTGACTCAGTGGAACTCGCTGGGTGGCTTCTTCCTGGGTAAGTGCAGGCTGTGGGCTGGGTGGCTCAGCTCCAGCCCGGGGGAGACCAGCAGTTGAGTAGAGCTGGTCCCGGAGTCCCACAGACCTGGGTGTTGGCTCCCACCTGCAGCTTTGGCCAGCAGGTGACCTGACTTCTCAGTCTCTGTGAGTCCTTTTCTTATCCTGAGAGAGTGGTGATGATTCCAGACAGTTTAGAAGAGGAAACATCCGTGGGCGATGCATAGCCACCTGGTTACTACAGCTAACTGATTTCCTGGCAGCGCCTTCCTTCACAGAAGTCAGATTCTCTCTCACACCTGTGGTTTTTACACTGGCAGGAGGTTTTCAGGGTCAGTTGAATGACACAGGCCCTTTCACCTCCCCTTTTGTACTGACATTGTCTCGTGACATTTCAGCAGTGATTGTAGCAGAGAATGTCCCACTGTTTGCCTTTTCTAAATGTTTATAAACATGATGAGTAATCCACCCTCTTCCCCCTTTCCCAGGTATCTTATCAGAACGTCATTTTAGTCCACAGGAAGGTCAGCAGCCAGATTCTTGGCCAGCGCGGCTGCAGGAAGTAGAAGTTGGCAGTGGCTGGTCTGTCAACCTCAGGCACCCAGTCAGCAGGCAGTCGCGTGGTGGGCTGTTTACATGGACTTTTTTTCCAACTCAGGCCACCATGAGTCTCTGCCAGAAGACCTGAAGGACGGCATGCTCACCCAGATGGCTAGCCAGACCTCGTCTGGGAGGAACTTCCATTTTTTACAGGTCACTTCCCTTGCTATACTTGGTGTTCTGCATCCAGAAAAGCGTCCTATTGGCACTTCAGAATCTGTTAACTCTAAGTGGCCCTTTCTCCTTTGCTGGCATGTTGAGATACTGTAATGCCAGTGCTGAGTCATAGACGTGAATCATTTTCAAGGATGGGCCTTTCCCGCTTCAGACAGGCCACACTTGTCCAGGCTGCACAGTGCCCTTTGTGCCTTTTGTTGATTAAACAAGTGTCTTTGCTCCAAAGCATGCAGGGGGCAGTCCTCTCCTACACCACTAGGGTGGGAGGAGGAGGGTGCAGGGCCGAAAGACTTTCTGGGGGGTGGTCCCACAGATGTGTCAGAAGTCTTCAGTGTTCTTACCTGTTGGCCCAGGGTCTTCTTCACCTTTGGGAATTTTATCCCAAGGAATTAGTGGGAGATACATTCAGGAATTAGAAGAATAAAATTAGTCCAGCAGAAGGGGGTTGGTTACTTGTCACATTCGTGTGGTATAATACTGTGGTTATTTAAAGTCAGTTTAAAAGAGTATTAAGTAGGAAGCATTCTTTAAAAAATAGATTTGAAAGTGCAGTGGATTCTAATTTATGTTTTAAAATATATCTATCTGGGTTCAAGCATGAAAGTGTATTATTTCTGGGTGTTGGGTGTCGCTAACTTTTTCTGGGTATCCCAAGTGCCACAGTGAACTGTGTTACTAATGTCATCAGAAAAAGTAAAATCTGTGTTTAAGAAGTAATTCTCACCAACTGTTCCATGGAGTCATGTGGCAAATGTGAGTTGGTCCAGCCATTCACAGTTAAGATGGGGACGTGAAGTCCGGGAGACTCACCAAAAACATGAAAGACCAGACTTCATTCAGAAGGCTCAGCCGCTTAGCCCCAGGATGTAAGTGCAAAGTCACCACCCAGAACAGGTTGGTTTTGCCCACCTTTTTAAAGGACATATGTACATACAGCGTCTATAGAATAAATACCAGAAGTGTTATTGCTGTAAGGTAAAGTTATGGATAGTTTCTATTTTTATTTACTTATGAATTTCTAAGTTTCTATAAATTTTTTCCCAGAAATGAATTACTGAAATTAGTGTCTTAGTGACAGATTAATTAAAACAAGCATTATAAGTCAGTGGAGAAGTGTGAAATAAATGGTGTAGCAACATTAGGTTAGCTATGGGGACAGGGACCAATATACATTCTTCATGGAGTTCATAGTTAAAGCTTTTCTATTTTTATGTCTAAACTTCAAATTGGGGGGGGAACCCCCAAAGCAATGGAGTCAATCACAAAGAAAAAGACATTGGCTATGCAAACATTGTTACATTGATGTGGCAAAACACAAGGGTCCTGGAAACTGGGGAGTCTGTTTTCAGCCAACATGGAAGGGCCAGGTATATTTGGGTGTGCTTCCTCTCAGGCCCAGCTGCTGCCTCTGTTTGAAGTGGGGGTATCACCTCCCTGGCGGCTGTCCTCATCCCCACCCTGCCACCAGGAGCACTGGCATGGTGTGCTTTGAGGATGCTCCCCCATAGCAAGGGTCTGCACGGAGGGGCAGGGGTGAGAAGGACCCCAAATCCAAAGGCCTGGAGGACAGGGTGGCTATCGAGTTGGTCTGGTTGGTGGTATGCAGAAAGGTGGGTTTAGGGGTAAAGGGTCCTCCAAATTCAGTGTGGTTGCACTTGATTGCATACGAGTGAAACAGGCTGAGGAAACAGATCTTAGGAGCCTGCCTTCTGGGTGGGGTGTTAGGTGAGATGCCAGTCACACTTCGTGGTGGAGGTTCAGGGGGCAGTGCTGCCCGGAGCCTGGGCTCAGAATACAGGAGGACTTTGTTACCCCCTTCAGCATGCAGCTCAGGAGGCAGGAGGGAAACTGGGAGCAAGTAGGCCATTCTTGTCACCTAGAGAAGCAGGCACAGGGGCTGGCCGCCAGGTCTCGGCTGTGTTCCTTCCCTGCGGCGTCCTCACATTCATCTCAGAGAAGGTGGACTCCTTGGGAAAGGGCCTCTTGGTGGCCTGGAGCAGCACTGGGAGGGGTGACACAGATGAAGGCCAAGGTGGCCAGAGATGAGTAGGCATTCTGTTCAAAGGGCGCGCGGGGCACTTGCCTGGTCACAGGGTGCAGGGCTCTGAGGTGCTGAGCAGGTTGTTGCCAGATTGTCCAGCTTCATCTCCACTGGGCACCTCTCTGGCCCCTGGCAGCAGGGCCGGGCACCTCTCTGGTTCCCGGTGGCAGAGCTGGACACGGTGGCTTCTATAGATAGAGCCCTGTGTCTTCTCACTCATTTCTTAAACTCTCTCTTGCTAACCAGATTTTATTTCATTTTATTTTTTAAAATTTTACTTGAGTTGGAGTCTCCGTTGCCCAGGCTGGAGTGCAGTGGCATGATCATGGCTCACCACAGCCTCAACCTCCTTGACTCAGGTGATCCTTCTCCTCAGCCTCACAAGTAGCTGGAATTATAGGTACACACCACCACACCTGGCTCATTTTTTGAAGTTTTTCAGAGACTAGGTCTCACTGTGTTGCCCAGGCTGGCCTCGAATTCCTGGACTCAAGCAATCCTCCTGCCTGGGCCTTCCAAACATAGACAGGGATTTATCATCTTGGCATTCGCTGGGTGAGTACTTTTTACCATGGGAGCATAAGGGGTCCTGGAGAAAGTTGTCATGGAGTAACTGACCAAGTGGTCCAGCCAGAGAGGCTCCGGCCAAAGCCCAGTGCCCTGCAGGCTGGGAACCAGCCACCAGGATTTCAGCAGCAAAACCCAAGCCT